TTTTGAAACCAGATTCCTCAGATTGATCACATTCTAAAATTAGATCACTTTTTCTATTCTTGAAACACTCGTTTTCTCAGAAACGTCAAATTTCTCATTTTCTGGGATCATCTTTGATGTGTTCATGGATCACCCATTTTTTCCAAAAACATTGCAACAACCAAAAACAATGACGTCCGCTTTTTTTAAGAGTTGAAGATAATCACATTGCACTGAATAAGACGACACTTTCAAAGATGAATCAAACAGTCTACATAAAAGCAAAAAAAGGAAGTCGTTGAGTGGGTGGAGAGAAAAAAGGCCACCCGGAAACTATCTTTCTCTGGGAATCCTTGAATTCCATTCTATCCCGTTTCCACGATTTAGTCCTTGTTTTGTGAAATAAATTGTTGGGTTGGATGAAGGGAAAAAGATCCCGGCTGGTGGTTAACTGAGTGTTTAGCTCATCCGGTGTCGGTGAAAAACGGGTGGGATGGAAAAGAGACAAGCACTTCTACAACAGATCGTGAAGCAGAAGAGAATTCGAAGAGAAGAAGAAGAAGAACTAATCCTTCGATGTTATTTCGTTTTTGCAACGTACATTCGAGGAGCCAATTCAGATGGAATGGAAGTAGGCAGAGTAAGAGTACATTTGGAAAAATACTCGTAACAAATGAAAACCAGGAAGAAAACAAGAAAAAGAGGAGAACCGCCAAAACAAGTAATTAGACTGACTGGTTTTTGGGAGGGAGGGAGGCAGGAAGTTGGAATTAGAAAACTGCACATAATGGGATGATGGAATGGCTAATAGCAGCCAAGGAGCAACGATTTGAGCAAAATTAGCAACAAGAAATACATAAAAATAATAAAAACACAGAGTTACTATAAACCTGTATTAGGAGGGTCCCTTTAATAGAATGACCCTTGTAGAATGGCCGAAATTCTACAATTTCAAAAAAAAAATCGTTTAAACACTCTAACTGGTAGGTTTCTATGTGTTTCGAGAATTCACCGAACTTTTCGATGAAAAAAAAAGGTCCCTTCTAATCGAAGGGCCCTACGGAGGTAAATTGAATCAATAAAAGAACCGACCCTTCTAATACAGGTTTTGCGGTAAAATCTAGTTGGAAAATTCAGATTGCTCGCTAACTGATAAACAAGAACTGATCGATTGAGCCAGTCGTTTTGACTAGTTTGGTCAGAAATGACTCAACATGGATTTCTCCCTGATCAAGGTACTATGTGTTTTGGGATGTTGTGTAAATGCGCTCTAACGCACCCTGCTACAGTAAATTTACCTTCGGTCTCTACGCGAAAACTTTAAATTGACCTGCTGAGTCGCTACTCAGCGGTGCATGCATTGGAAAAATCGCTGGAAAAATTATTTCAAAATACGTTCCGGAAAAAATAACACCGTACAAGGAAAGATTTTGCGATATTGATCATGAGAAGATAGCAATGAACCCAGTTATGTAAGCTTTCAAGAGTTAGGCAACGCCACATACATTACCAGTGTGCTCAGTGAGCTTGAAACAGATCTGAACTTTCCGCTACAGTAACTTTTGAAAAAACAAGAACTTTGCTGACGCTGTCATAAGATTCCGGTTCTGGCAACAATTTGAATTGCTTCCTTATCATCCAAAAAACATTATTCTTATCCCTGTAACATCTACCTAAAGTAAGAGGATGTCAGCGGATAAACAATTCCGACGCTCTTCTCGATTTTCGAGTGATCCCAAAGCTCCGCCCACTTATCACAGTTGATGAAGATGACCTAAACGCTTATGATGCCTCATTAATATCTTAAAAATCTCAAAATTGTCACAAAAAAAGAGATGTTAGATTGGCAAATAAGTTTCTTCCGATTTTGGTGAAATTTTTGATCAAATTTTTCTCAGAGCAGAGGGGGTTAGACCAATGGAAATAAAGTCCATGAGCATTGATAGTTGTCTGCCAACGCTCCGGTAATTCCTTGATTCCATTTGCCCAGAACGACGAGGGCTGCGATTGAAAAAGTGGGTCCACTCCTATTTGGTGTCATCTTTTCAAATGAAGTTTTTTCTGTGAAGATGATGTTTGAGAGTCTCAATCAATCTTTTTTCCGAAAGATCAAGAATCGGATAATACGACAAATGCAAAACAATAGTTTAACCAAGCGACCTGTTTATTTGGCTGATCGCTCTAGTCAGGGGCGATCTCGCATTGTCGCGCTGGAAGTAGTCCTTAGTCTTTGCTACCTGTCTTGGTTTGACTGCCGGGTTTAATTTTTCCTATTGTGCAGCGTACAAGGTAGCAGTTGTAGTGGGACCTTCATCTAAAAGTTCCCAGTCTCGTCTCCTTCGACAGACCACCAAAGCCATAGCATACCCTTTTTCACTAAAAATTTAGGTTTCGGGACGTCCATAGCTAGCTATTCTATATCAATGAACTGACCCTTCCGCACATTGTTAGAGTAACTTACCCACTTCCCACCTACAGTAATTAGCTTATCCAGCCAACTGACCGTGAGGAGAAATTATAGGAGAAACCTGCTCATGCCTGTACGGCGATCTATATCGTTGCCCTTCAAAAAATGGGGTACGAACCATCCAATTTTTTGACATTGCCAAGGGATTTCAATTTGTTCACAGTAATTGGTTGACGAACGGGCAATGCTTACAAGATTTCACAAGTGGTTTGAAACGGATTGTTTTCAATAGCATTCTTCAATAGGTCCAAGTCCAACTTTCGGACAGATCTTCATCTTCAGATTCTAAATTTTTGACTTCAAATTTATCTGTCCAATGCTTGATGGTACAGACAGTAGAAGATATTTCTTTATCTATTTCTTTCAATTTCTTGTGAATATCGTAGTTTTTCAAACCAGAAAGGAATAAAAATATAGAATGTCATTTTGAAAGTTTTGACGGTAAGGGACAAAAGCAGGCGGCATGCTCGCGAACGACAATAAGGAGACATGAGCCAAGGTGTGTGTAACAAGTTCGTGAGATACTCTATTCAACAAAAAACACCGGTCAAGAAAAACTATCCCACTGACCAGATATGAACTTTCAAAGTTGAGCATTCAACATCGGAAGAAACTTATTTTCCAACCTAATAGAAAACCGCCGGAATGAAATAACTCACAGAAAGTGACGTTGTGTTTTTTGTTACTCTACAAATTATTTCATCACAGAAAATAGCTACTGATTATGATTTTCTATTTTGGTGAGAAGAAGAAGAAGTCGTGTAAAACACAAAAAAGGACCTGACAAGAAATAGATATTTGAGGAAAAAGAAGAGGAATCGGATTATAATTGTATCTCAAATAACTTGGGAAAAAGAGGAATTGGAGATTTTCTGATGAATATCTCCCTAATAGGTTGCCATTTTCAGCTTACTTACAAAAGAATCAAAGAATAGGTGGATAATCCAAAAAAGGAAAGATTGGGATTAAATTAGAAAAATGGAGGCAAATGAGGAGGAGTAGATATATTGAACAAGTGATTCAAAAGAAGTCTTATGATAGATCTGAAGGGATTCTAGTCAATTTTCGTAGCGATTATGGGTCTTATGATTTAAGAAAATATTTATTTTTGGGCATGAAAGTCCTCCGAGAGTTAGAATTAGTCACGAATTTAGATAGGTTGAGTGCCCCGGTAATCTAAAGTAGCCTGCATATCGCAAAACCTATATTATTATATTAGAAGGGCCGGCTCTTCTATTGTTCCAAGATACCTTCGGAGGGCTCTTCTACTACAGGGGCTTTCCAAAAAGTGGTCCTTATTTTCCGGTAATTTTCCTGAAATTTCTCAGACGGAATGGTAAATTCTCGTTCCAAATTAAAGAAAAAAATTGAAATTTAACAAAAATAAAAATTGAAAAATTTAACTAGAAATTTAACTAAAATTGAGAAAGTTCTTAAGCTAAACAAATCTCGGAGCATTAATGACAAATGATTTCAAAGAACATATTTTGAAGGGGGATTTTGTTTTTCCAAGCCCCTCCATTAGGGCTTTTTTATTAGAAGGGCTTTTCTATGAAGGTTCTAATACAGGATTTACGGTATTATGAAATATCTTCCGGGTCGTTGCAGTTCCTGTCTGAATCTCGCCTTCAATTTTAAACAAATCGTTTACAGAAATTTTTGCAAATCTATTCTTTTTTAATTTGAAAAAACGTTTATTTTCAGACAATCGAACATATTTTGCACTGGAGAGACACTCGTATATAATCAATAGTACTTACAAAAGCAGTAAAACTTGTTTCTTTTTTTTGAATAAAAATTGATATTATTGGAAAGTAAATTTCAATGAGAGAACTGAGAAAAGTGGTGTGGAGAGAAATCGGTAGGTTTCTGTGAGGGAACTTTTGAAATATTGTCGAAATAAAAAAAGTGGCACCTGGTGGTTGCAACCCCGACGCCCCAAAGAAAAAATGCAATGAGCTCACAATTTTAAGAGAACACATTTAAAAAGTGACAATGAGCTACAATCGACAACAAGAAATAATAAAAAATCAATTTCTCTTAAAATTGTGAGCTAAATTGCATTTTTTCTTTGAAAATCTCATTAAATGCAATAATCCCGAAATGGCGCCGCACAGTTGCAAAACCTCATGCCCCACTCCGAAATTGTGGGCGGGGCGTCGGGGTCGCAACCACCAGGTGTCACTTTTTTATTTCGACAATAGAGAGAGAGAGAAAGAGAGTGACAGAATCTGCCAAGAAGCATCATAAACCCGTGTCGCTAATTTAGAAAAAAAGGAAAAACAACTACAACTATTCCTAATTGTAGGTGGATTCAGGGAGAGAAGAAGCTTACACGTGTTAACTGAAAATTAGATGAAGGAATTGTTCTTGAAAGGGGGGATTTCAGACAGAAAGAGAGGGGAATAAGAAACGATTATCATTTTTGTTTTTTTTTATTCCGCATTTGAGGAGGAGAAGGTGAGTGAGAACGAGATCAGCTTACAGGCGAAGTGGCACACAGACATCATCTAGTTGCTAGAAAATAAAAAAGACACGGGTATGATAATTATGATTAGAACGAAGCTATCCTCACTTCTCTGCACTTGCAACTCTTCACCTAAAAATGTATTGGAACATGTACTGGATTAACAAATTTCAATCAACTCACTTTCACAATCGTTTTGGTTGTAGTTGGCGGAGATTTGCCAGGACAGTCTAAGGTTATATCGACGTAATCGTACTCGGATGGAGCACACGCCGCACAACTTCTGAATGCTGCTTTCAGTTTTTTTGTCGAGTGTCTTGGAATGAAGATACTGGCACAGGTACCGTGGCAGAGTCTGATATAAAACTTGATACAGCTGGTTCGTTAAAGTTATTGTGGTGCTCTATTTGAACAAATACGGTATAAAGCTTTAATGTTGCTTCCCATGACTTTCTTTTTTTGCTCCACTACACGGCAGTTTTCTATCCGGTTTTCTTTTTTACGTCTTTTCGATGTAAAGTAATTTTCGATACATTAAGTAAGACCTTAACCCTAATTCTTTCCGAATAAAACGATAAGCGAAACGAAGGGTAAAGTTTGCAAAAAAGGAGAAAACTCACCTATTGACCACAACCTTTGTCAAACATCCGTCAACTCGGATTCTCTGTTTGAACTTCTGACCATCGCATCGTTGATTCATTCTCAACGCATCCGGATCGGCAAGTTGAAGTAGAGCATGTTTGCGCCCTTCTAATACAGTATCTCCATTCTCGTCTGGAAATATGCTGGAATTCAAATGAGGTCTCGTTCAGAGTCATGCAAAATTTTCTCATGTTACAAATTTATCTGTCAGCAGTTGTTGAATGGACACAAAATTAACGATATTAGACAAGAATAAAAATTAGAAGGGGGTGTGGCCTGAAATCAGACTCTGACAGAGTGCCACCAAGACCGACAAACTTGAGCTTATATGTCTCGGTTACTGTAAATGATATCAAAAAGTGTTCCACTGACAAACTATTTCTGATATTATGACAAACAGGTTGGCAATTTACCACTTTTTGGTATCTTGTACAGGGAATGAGATATATACGAGCTTAAAGTTAAAAGTTCGTGTGGCAATATCAGAGTGTTTACGGTATGGACCATCGAGAAACGAAATTTGCTTCTGTAGTTCAATGGAGTTGAAATCAAAGACGAGTGTATATGTGGTAATAAAACTGTTGTCTACCAATTTCATGTGATCAATTCAACATTTTTATAAACAATGAAATTAACTCGGGGCTGATTCAAAATTAGAACTTCAGCTGTTCAAAACCTGGCTTGCTGAATTTTTTTATGCACCTAAATTTTTTTTTTTTTCAACATTGCGAAAATTAACTACCGTTGCTACATTCAGAAACTGCCACTGATACCAACCACACAACAATTATGGGGTTTTTCTCTTCTTTCCTCCATGATCATAAAAAATTCTTATGCATTCATGACTCTTGCCGTTTTGTGGCGTGGGTGTGGAATGAGACAAAGCGTGGATGAGCTGATGAGGGGCACAACCGAGCAAACCAATGATATCAGGTAACTCGAGAACACGAAACACACTCACATACACTCTTTTCTTTCTACTTTTCACAGAAAATAAGAAACAACTCATCATCATCATCATCATCTACCAACCTTTTGCAATTTTCTTCAACTTGCCAACCGGTTTTCGATTCTTCTTACGGTGATGTCGAGTCAGATTGTCGACATGGGATTGGTGGTCGACGTGGTTCTCGTGCTTCGCCTCTTCCTCTTCAGCACTTTCCAATTGATAGGCTGTTCCGAGACGAAAATGAGAATCAACGGGTGTTCCTTTAAGTTGAAGGAACGCGTTTCTTGAGATTTCTTGGAATGATGGAACTGCTGAACTTCCGTTTGCTGAAACAAAAGTTTCTTCATTGCTAGTTAATTTTGTATGGGAGATCAGATCTACCGTACTAAAGTTAATCTAGGTTTAACATTCTCCAATCCTATTTTTTATAAAACCAAGATTATCATATTCAAAGGGCAAATAACAAGAAACAAAATTTGGTTTGTCGGTTTATGTAATGCTACCCTTTATTTTTGGAAGTCACAATTGAGTTCAACTTAAAAGGTTCCCATCTAAAGCATACCTGAATAATATCCATCAAGAATCTCAACCTTCGGAGGTCGTTCATTTCGGTCTGTGGGTGCTGCTACGACACCACTTACTATGCAACATATCAGAATAACCAAATAGGACATATGTCGCCATGAAAATGATGATAATGGATGTAATTTTGATAGTGAATAAAAATTTGAAGAGGAGGAAAAAGAAGAAGAAGATGATGATAGTAAAATTCGTCTGGATCGTCTTTGCGTTCGTGATCGCTCGTTCGTCATGGCTGCTGTCGTTGCTTCGTCGTCGTTCGATGTCGGTATTGGCGACTCTTGGCTCGTCGGAGACTCCTCGTGCTCTCGTTGTCCGCTGCATCCACTCTCATCATTGTTATCCTCGTCGGTTCGGAAGCTCCGTTGGCCACGCCCATCTGCTCGTTTCATCGTAGTTAGGTCAGAACTTGCAATTGGTCGATCATAGATCGATGCGTTGTCTGACATAAAGAAATCGATATACTGATTGAATTTTTTTTGTAAAAAACAAAAAAGTGGGCGGGAAGAAAATGGCGATGGCTATTTTTCAGTCGATCGATATTTTTGGAATTTTTTGGGGGCAATCAAAAAATGTGGAACTAGGGGTGAGAGGGAATGCAAAAAAAGGAGGCAAAAACGAAGAGCAGTGGTCGGTAAGAGAAAAACTGTCACCCACACATACATACATACACATACATGCATGCACCACCACCACGCATATTTCGACCGACGTCTTGCTATCAACGTCAAGCGGACGGTGCGAAGAGGTTGATAGCAATCGGGCGCCCCGTCTCTCAGACGCCACTGTCAAATCAGTGTGCAAGTAGGAGAAACACACGAGTAATCGAATATATGTTGATGCATTCCATTCGTTTCGTTTTCTCTCTTCGTCGCCTCACCGGTTTTGACTGACCTTTTATAGTTGCGCTCCCGTTTTTTTCTTCCCTGCTTCTTCTTCCAATTTTCGCTCCTTCCATTTCAGCCAATTTAATTTTAATAACGTCGTGTGATAAGCGTCAAAAGTCGTTACGAAGAAAAAAAGTTTTATGAGTTTCCTGAATAGGTATTTTGACAAAAAAGAGAAATGGTTCTTCTTCGAACTCATTTGGGATTCAAATCATATTTTGTTTTGGTTGCTAGGGTTACTGTAGCCGACTGATTTTGAAACTATTTTACCGTATATCTTTGAAAAAGTATATTATTGTCCACCGAATTTCCTTAATTGCTATAAATATGTTGCGCCAAAATTAATCACATCACCACCATCACCACTCACTATGAAACCTTGTTGTAACACCAAACCTCGTGATTCTTCTTCACTTCCTGCCTTTCCCGACCATGCCTTGAATTCAAACCAATTTGTTTAAATGACGTTTTTGATTACTCGGAAATACAACTATGTCGATTTCGCACCAAATGGAAACACATATTCTGGAGTTCTGGGGACTCGATCAAAGTCTGTGAAGATACAAACTGTTTACAAACTGTAAAACCACTCAAAAACCTTATCAATGCTTTTCTCGTTTCAAATTTTATGACATGATTTCTTCAATTTTAGATGCAGATAGTTCAGCAATTAAATTAGTTTTTTGTATCCTCGATATATTTTTGACTCAATTTTTTGCCTCCTTGCTTTTAGTTTCTATTACGTTCTTGGAAAGGTCTCAGTATTTTTTTTTTGAAACTAAGGAGCCACACTAGTACATCAACTTTTAGAATTAATTTTTTCTTTAAGTGAATTTTTTAAGGCCAAGTTTTGTAGGTTCCTGTCAAAGATATGAAAAGTGGTCAACTGATAAATTTTTTATCATAATCACTTGGCATATTTTTGATATCTAGCACAGGTGACAAAAAATTATCTTGCAATTTTTTTAAATTGTATTTATTGGAAATTTTGCTAGGTTTTCAAATTTTAATATAGAATTCTAGCGAATTTTTGTAGTTCTGCATCGTGTCTGTTTATCAGTTAGAATTGCAGTTTGGCATCAGGAAGTACATTGGAGCAATTTTTTCTTAGTTTTAACATGAAAATAGATAAGGAAACTTCTGGAATAGTTGGATGATGATCTTGACATTTCAGAAGCAAACGTCGTTTGTAAAGCTATACCAAAATCTAGTTACAGTAATCCTCCAAATTCCATTATCTTCTTACTTTTCAACACTACTTTATCTAAAAAGACAGATGATCCTAAAAGCTCTCATACTTCATACACAACTCTTGAACTCTTCTATCCTCTTTTTTTTTCTTTTCTCTTATTTCAATTATTCCAATTGTATGGAGTTTAGTCACGTTTGAACTTCAAGAACATTGTATTCCGAAAAAGGCATTTTCTTGTCTAACTTCCTCAACGAAGTTATTGTTACTTTGCTCTTAACCCATATAAGCTGACCCCATGTTTCCTTCTTGGAACCTCAACGAGCTGCTTCCTAGAAAACAAAATCATATACGTGAATCCCGAATAGTGCATCTTTGTAGTACTCTCTTTCTTCTTTTTTTACTAATTTGTGGTCACCTATCTTTCAAATGAGATCTCGTTGAAAGTCTCTCTCGAACTGCTGTACACACACTCCTTTCAAAAACTGGCGTCATTTCCCGGAAAGCCGAAAACCCGCTTCGGGTCAGTTTCCTCCCACATTTTTCTATCCCGTACTTTTGTCCTCAGTCTAAATTATTCAACCAATTAGCTCATCTAATTCGGTTTATAAGATGTAAACAGAAAAAACGGGTTGCGAAATACTTTTGGGCTTTTGTCGTTTTGAGAAGTTCCTTCTCCCAATTTGTTAGTTTTAAAAAGGGAAACACATAGGAAGAAGACAACTTCATTGATACAGTACACGATGAAAAGATCCATGAAATCATAACACATATCCGATTGGGAACAAAGGAGAAAGAGAGGGAGAGAGAGAGAGAGAGAGAGAGAGAGAGAGAGAGAGGTGATGACAAAGATACAGATGAGAATATAAACTCTAAATCCAGACCCCTGCCTGCGTACCGAACCCTCTCATTTATTTAGAACCCGCGAATGGATTTGAGGTAGAGCGCGGTACCCAGAGAATCTGAATTCACAGTTCCAAAAATGAAGAACATGGAGAAAATGAATGAAAGAGTGAGGGGAAAAATATGACGGAAATTTTGAAAAAAAGGAGACAGAAAATTGAAAAAGTTGGCACTGGAGCGCGGGGCAGGCGGCTCGAGAACTGTTGACTAGAAGAGAATGAAACGATCACAATGATGATGATAAGATGATAACGAACGGGGAAAGTGGGAGATCAAAATGGAAAGAAAAAAAAGAGGAAATGGTACAAAAAAGAACTAGCTCACAACCGACTATCACAAAACATAAAATATTACAGAAAAAATTATTTCTTCTCGTGTAACTTCTTCAGACGCTCCATTTCTCGTTTGGTGTTATCGTGAGCTTGGCGTTCCTAAATGTTCAATTTGTTAGATTCTTGTGAAAAATTACTGGTTTCCAACCTGAATAAGTTGCTTCCTGAGCTGCTGTGCAAGCATTTCTAGAGCGCGTTTTTCCTGAACGGTACGCTCTAGATGGGTCTGTATCCTGACGAGTTCACTGGATTCTCGCTCATTTGTTGACTCCCGAGCAGACAGTGGAGCCTGAAATAATACGATAAACCGCAAAACCTGTAATAGAAGGGCCGAAGTTTTGAAGTTTGAGCTCAACTAACTCAGTTCCTAGGCAAGATATAAAAAATGTGTCAACTGACAAAATACTTCTGATGTTATGATGAACAGTTTATTAGTTGATAACTTTTTTTAACAAATAACAACGAAGCGATCTACTTCTTCTTTTGTTTAATGTTAATTGCAAGGAACTTTTAAAATTTCCAGAATGATTGGATAGTAACACCTACTTTTCGATTGAGCTCATCCATCAGTGGTGACCTTAATTGCTCATCGGATTGAGCCCGATTAAGACATTTTGGAGGATTGAGTAACGTGCACATGTTGTCGTGGACACTGGCGCTAGATAACACATTTGGACGATTGTTGGATCTGAAACGATTTGCTTGGTATACTAACTAATCTCACTTTCAATATCGTTTTGTGTTGAACAAGGCTCACATGTTGTTGGCACGCTGTTCAGTACTCTTTTTGTTGGCATTGAAACTGAAAGTGCGTTCGTCGAAAGAAGATGCCGGACTGCTGCTAGCGCTATTCGTCGGGTACTCGAGCTTCTTCTGACGGAACATCTCGTGGTACCTGCTGCTGCACGCGATGAGAACCTTGTCAAGAAACCGCGCCCAGAACTCACGTGATAGGTTGTTTTGCAAATGCATCCGGCGTCAGCATTTGCTCGATTCCCTTCACTGCTGGACAGTTTGGATCTTCACATCCACGACGAGGACTTCCATCGGAAGACGGGGAGATCATCAGAAGACGAACACACTCAGAAACAGCCAACTGATCACAGATCTTATCAAAAGACAAGGTACTAATTGGCATTGAATCCATTTCTACTATTCTACTTCCTTGTCTGATTCCAGCTTTCCATGCCAACTGATACATATCCACATCAGTCACAACACCTTCATCTTGAACATGGAATCCCCAGTTATCAGTTGTTTTCAGTCTTCGAAGAACAACTTCCTTTGCTTCATCTCCTTTTGTAACGTTTTCCAGTCGGCGAATCAATTCGTTGAGTTCAGAATCAGTGCATGTTTCTGAATAGCAGCGTAAAAGTAGTTGATCTCCATGATCGTAATAGAGTTTCAATCCAGTGTCACTATTGGCCCATCCAATGATTGAATGGGTTGGAGTGCTGAACAGAACCGTTCCTGATGGTCTCTCCAAAAGAACAATCCAATCCTGAGCAACACCTAACACGCAGCTAACTCGTTGATTTGTTGAGTAATCATGGACATCAACGAGCCAGGTGAGAGCTCCACGCAACACATGATTTGTTGGTTTCGGATTGTGTCTCTCTTTTCGCTTCACACTTCCGCCAAGGAATCGACCTGCAACTGAGAATTGACATAATTTTCATAATTATCCCAGGAACATACTTGCTATTTTGCTAGCTCCCTCGTTTTGATGAGGTCCAACATAATTCTCAACCAGATCACGAAGGGCTTCTCGTCGAGTCCTCGCTGCCATTGTGGCAAACTTCTTTGAACGATGCACTGCATTCTCAGCATTGATTACTGTAACTTCAGAACTTATACAGAGGAGTGATGTTCCTTAATAGTCTTACTTTTGGTCAACAGCCAATCGTGGAACTCTGCACATTTACTGAAGCAAGCACCTTTTGGAACTGGTGGTCCAAACGGAGGAACATCCTTTGATCTACTCACAGCTACACTGTATGTCACATTCTCAGAGCACTCATTATGTACACGAACAATGATGAATACGTGTTGGAAATGACTTCTAACGGTTATTGGAGAGAACGGAAGTGCTCCTGGCTCCTGGAACACAATTGTGACCATATCATTTCCAATGTGTCGCTTTCTGGAGAGTTGTTGTCGGTTACTTGGAGTGAACGGAAGAAGTGTGGACACGTGGAACATTATCTCATGAGCTTGATATTCCGAGTAAATGGAATGAGTTCCAGTGGTATCTCCTCGGGTGTCAAGACCACCTTTGTATTGTTCGAACCCTTTGAGAGTCACTTTTTGTCCAAGGAAGTCTAGGAACTCATCGAACGAAGGTGTCGATTCTTCTAGAAAAAAAATCAATCAGACGTTTGAGTTGTGATTCTTTTACCGTTATTATACATTTGTTCCTCAGTACTTTGTCCATTTTTACACAACATGATTCCAACCTTGTAGCGGGTATATATCGGTTGCTCATCAATTTTCATTATCAGTTCTTCTACTCTTGGAGACTGTATCGATGGACGAAGCGTTCCAAAACTAATTTTTGGGCACACGATTTCTAAAAGTTCCCGCATCAGCGGTCTAGTGGCTCGATCAGTTCCTTCAGGAGTGGAGAGAGCTTCCTCAGGGATTGCAACTCGTATAGTTTTTTGCTGAAAATCAGAAGCATATTTTGAATTTAAAGGTGAGTGATCATACATCTGATATCCGAATAATCATTCTGTAAATTGAGTAGGATTCTTTTCTGTCGACAATTTCTCGGACCATTGAGACGCTGATGGGACCGAGGATGTCGTCCATTCCGAGGTATTCGATGTGATCTTCAAAACAAATATAAAGTTCTAGAGATCACTTTTCATTTATAATCTCCATAGTGAAAAGCTAATTATATGTTTTTCGCTTTTGCCGTTTTTGGTAACTAGACGAAAATATCAAAAATACAACTAACTTTTTGAAATAAAGCAGTGGCGATAATAATAGGATCCAATATCTTGTGGTTCAATAACAGTCTTTGGTTGTCTTGCAGCACATAACCGCCCTCCAAGGTAAACGTTTGAAACATCTTCCAGTATTCCAGCTTCCGAGGCCGAATGTTCACGCATCCATGTTTCACATTCATGAGCATCCGTGTGGGCCATGTCGAATGTATGACGGGATAATGCAAGCCGCCTCGTTGGTTCCCAGCCCAATTCATTCCTAAATGCCGGACAACTCGCGAGAAGTTCGTTACATTTTCCGTCTCCTGAATCGTCTTCACTTGGTGATTGTGCTTGACTAGCACCCGTCGGTTTGTCGTCCAGACCGTTCGGATGCGCGCCAAGTCCCCAGCCGGCGGCAACCGAAAGACAGTCTTGATAGGCGGTGAGCCTTGGATACGGAGGTTTCCATTCGTTAAATAGTTCCATATCATTATCTGAATTGGTCGAAGAAGGTTGGTCGGCACTGATGACTCCACTCGTAGAGGATACTGCCGACGTGCTCGGTACCCCCGCACCCGGTGGAAGAACATCGGCTGCTGTGTTTCCTGGAAATTGGTATTATTCGATATGGTAAAGAATCAGAGAATACCAGTAAAAACGAGTGTTGATTTCAGGTTTTAGAAGAAAAACGAATGCCTTCATTAGTCAAATCTCTGATGGGGAAATTAAGAATTTTCTTTTCTTTTGTTATTCTTTCGGTTAATAAATAGGTTGACTGAACATTGAGGTTTGATCGTTGCCTGTTTTTTAAATTCAGAAACTATACTAGAAACTCAGTGGGAATTCGGATTACAGCGACTATGGTAAAATCTGTAATAGAAGAGATTCCTAACATTTAAATTTGAATCAATGTATCTTGGTTTCTGTCAGTGACATAAAAAGTTATTAACTGATAAATTGTTTATCATACGGTCAGACGTACTTTATCAGTTGACACATTTTGGATATCTTGAATAGGAACCGAGAAAAATCAGCTCAAACTTGACAGTGTGGGACACAATGGGAGACCTTCTGTTACAAATTTTACGGTATTCTAAAAATGACCGAAAAACTATAGAACTGAAATCGAAAAATTAGAATTGCGAAGAGGATCTTATCTCAAATGCTCATTTGACCTTAAAAATTTTTATTTAATCATTCAAATTTCATTTTAAATTTTCAGTATTGTAGTTTGTCATTCACTTTACCAGAACTATACATAGGCTTTTTTAAAATTTTGTTTGAGTTTGATATTTTATGTTCTTCTTATATGATTAACATTCATGGCTATTTACGGGTTCATTAACCTCTTCTAAAATAAAAGTGCAGAGGCTGCACAATAATTCTAGAAATCTATTCAAATGAGCATTTTAGGAAAGCATTAAAACGAATTCTGAGAACCTGTGTGGATGAAAAGTCGTAATTTTCAGATAAGTTTCAAAACTCTGACATTTCGGTAACTCATGAAACTCCGAAAGTTTAATTACCGTAATCACCTGTAAGGGAAGGTGACTTTCCACTTTGAGTCACATTTTCTCGGTTCTTCTCAAAGAGGGAGCCCTTCCATCACAGGTTTCGACCTTTTCCGAATTTTCCAATATCAAAATACTTTCCAATCTCGATAAAATGTTCCCCATCAGAAATTGAACTCATGAGACTCTTATTTCTTCCACCATCTTCTCAACACCAAAACTAGATTTTCAAAGGGGGCAAATCAATCAAAACCACAGCAATAAAAAACACTCCACACGATTCTCTGGGACCACTATCATCATCATAATATGAAATCATTCAAAAAGACCAAGTCACCTCTCGGCACTTTGTTTATAGTTTTGAAATAAGTGCAGAGCTTAGAAGCAATACGGATGTCTTCCATGATACAAAAAAAATGAAATGTTAGTAATGTGCGTTGCTTTTTCAATGAAGACGCTGTGAGAAGGGAGGGACGAAGAAACTTGGTGTTAGTTTGGTGGGGTTTGTATTCTTGCAGGAAATATAACTTTCAGCCAAATGAAATAAAAGAATTGTTATAGATACCGCCCCAAAATATTAGGATCCCCAAGTGGAAACCGTTTCAAGGGAGACGATCAATATGTGTCTGTGTGTTGATATAAGCAATGATGTGATAGTTTTCTACATGTACACAACGCCCACACGTTACCTACGGTTACCGGCTGCTAATTGGAATCGAGTTAGCAACTGACACCTTCCATTGGGGAATCGGACGAGAGAAATAGTGTGAGATGGGAGAGATGGTTAGCTGCTGCTCATTGAAGTCGGATAAAATTTTGAAAGTATCTAATGGTGTGTTAGCTACTTGGCGTCAACCAATACATGAAGTTTTTGACCTAATTAGCGTATTCAAAAATTACTTCCTTGTTATTGTTTTATCCGTCTTCAAAAAAACATATGGGGGTTTCGGTGGGGGGCAACAATAGGGTGACGCAAAGAAGAGCACAACAAAACCTGCAATGACGACAGCAAGCACTGAACCTCTCCGATTGAACATGTCGAGAGCTCGAGCAGTCGCCGACGATGACGTCGACGCAGAAGATCCCTCATCCATCGAACCGCCGACCGGTGGGGAACCAGAAGACGAGGGTGAGGATCCAGAGATCAGCAACGGTTGATGGAGGTGATGGCACAACGAACGTGTCCGATTAGCTGATCTCACCGACGATGTCGTCGACGACATCGGACATTCGCATTTTAGGGGAAGATGGAGGTGAGGGTGAGAGGAGAGACGAATGCTCAAGGGGCCAAGAGTGAAGAGGAGGGGAGACTCTGAAAATATAAAAAAAATTATTGTAACACACCTGAATATTTTATAAGAGTTAAAATGAGAGAAACCGTAGCTACAATCAGAAATGTTCCGAAAATAAGAAAATGAGTCAATAATTCCACACAAAACGAAGAAGAGAACATTGATTGTTCTCGAAAATGGCACATATATTTTTGTGAAAGACATTAGAACAGTGTTATTACAAAAACATTTTTAATGAACACTGAGGGAATTTCAGAATATATATTTTTCAGTTTTTTTTTTCAGTCAATGCGTGGGCTGGACGTCTCAAGAGATCGTACTGTTTTTTTTTTACTTTTTATGTATAAGAAAACTTTTTATGTATAAAAAAATGAGTAATTGAAAAATAAATATTTTCCGGTGTTCCAATTCAAGTTTGGATCATACCGTAAATCCTGTAATAGAGGGGCCCCCTATCAGTTGTAAGTTTTAACTTTGAGCCGATTTTTCTTGGTTGCTGTCAAAGAGACGAAAAGGCGGTTAACTGATAAATTGTTTGTCATAATGTCGGAAGTATTTTGGTAGTTGAAACATTTTTGATATCTTGCATAGGACCAAGAAAAGTTAGCTCAAACTTGTCAGCCTGGGGGCTCTTCTAATATAGGTTTCACGGTAGATTACGTTGAAAATTCAGTGGGTCATCACCAAAAGTCTGGAGGAATTCCTGATGGTATTCAAGTAAGATTCGTCGAAAATATCAAGCTAAGAGTAGTAGCCTGAGGCCTGGCTTGATGAAAGAGTTTTCACGAAAATATGATTTTTCAAAGTATAACTTGAGACAAAAAATACAGTATCCCCGAGAAAATAACGATCCTAATTGTAAGAAATCTGAATCAGCACCAAACTATTCTATTTCATCCTGGTAATTATTGTTACAAGCCCAAAGAGGTTACTACTGTAGGAAATCTGAAAGAAAATTTTTTAAAAAGTTTTTGAATAATATTCTCAACTTTGAGCTCAAATTTTTCTGTTCCTGTGAAAGATATCACAAATTTGTCAGCTGATAAAATGTTGGTATAGTTATGGTACACAATTTATCAGTTTACAAATTTTTGATATCTTTCACAGGAATCGAGATAATTTGACCCAAAATTAAAATTGGGGGTGGGGGGGGGGGTGGCTTTCAGGAAGTGCGGTATTTAGGAAAAAGAGGAAATACGGTGTGTAGAATTTTTTCAAGAAAATGAAATGGTGCGGAAGATCTATATTACATATCTGGATGTGATGAGTTTTAAGCAGAATTGATAGATACTGAAAAATAATAGAAGAAGCCTTCTATAAAAAAACGAGACTAAGTTTTAAAAGACTAATTCCAGACGTTCATTTTGTAATTCCCATCACCCGACCCACTTTTCTTGTTAATAAAATAGTGAGGTGAAGGATGTCAAGAGGAAGAGGAGGAGATGAAAGAATCGAGAAAAGACATGAGGTCCTCCCCGGAAAAAAAAGTAGAGGGAAGAGAGTGGAAAACTTGGAAAAAAGACATTGAAACTGAACTTTTTTATGCGTGTGAGAGGTGACAAAATAGTGAACAAAAGTGGCTGGACGCAGACAAGAAAAGTGGGGTGAAAAGGGATGGAAAAGTGAAAGGGAGATGGTTGGAAGTAGAAGAGAAGAAGAGAGAGCTCTTCAAAATGTGTATGTGTGTGTGTCATTTACTTTGTAAACATCGGATACCCTGTGGCACATCAGAAATACTAGAAGAAGGAGAAGAGAGAAAAAAGGGTCTCCTCGCTTCTCCATTTTGGGACACAATTTTCAGAGAAAAGAAAATAAGACTAAAAGATTTCTATATGTATTATATAATAGAAAAAGCCGAAAATGCCGAGAGTGAGTGGGAGGGAAAAAGAGAGAGAATGTGGAAGAATGGGACCGATTAGATTAGAATAGGCAAGATTGATAAGCGGGAGCATGTGCTTCTCTTTTTTTTCGCCTTCCTCTCTTATTTTTTTTCCAACATCTTCCTGAGCCGAGTCGGCTTAATTGAAATGAGCACAAGAGCAACACAGAAAAAGCAGTAAAACATAAATGCGACAAAAAAAAGAAAGAAAAGAGCGTTTCTTCTCTTCTTCGTTGTCCACCGGAAAGATACAACACCTGCCTCTTTTCTCTTTGGCTTTTCGTGAAAAAAGAAAAGAAAATGAAGGGGTAGAAGAGGAAAACGAAGAAGGTGATGGTTGTGTTTGGTGCCGTTTAGAAGTGAATTTCATGTAAATTACGGGGTTCGTTTTTTTTTTAAAGAAGGAGAAGAGAAAAGAAGTCGTGTGTTTTGACAAGTGACACCAAAAAATAAGTATATATTCTAGATTTAGGGACGAGAAAATGAGGAACCTGAAATAGGTTATCTTTTGGAAAAATGATTTCAAAATAGTTTTCAGAAAGCGAGTTTAAACAATTTTTTTAAAAAAGTACCAAAATTTGTTCTACAAAATAGAGTACCGTAAAACCTGTAATAGAATGGCCCCAACATTGTTACGTTTGAGTGCAATTATCTCATTATTAGGAAAAATATCAAAAGTCGGTCAACTGATAAAACATTTCGGATGTTATGATTACCAATTTATCAGTTGACAACTTTTTCATGTCTTTGACACCAACCGAGATAAATTGAAAGTTACAGGTTATGGGTCCTCTATTACAGGTTTTAAGATTTGAGTTTTTTTTAAATTAAGGTTCCATAGGATATTGTAAGAGCAGGGCAAGAAATATTCTTTCAAGAATGGTGGCTACTTCTCAAAAACTATTCAAAACTATTCATGGACGTTTGAAATTGCGGAAGAAATATGAGCACAGTTTAAACGATCACCTAGTTTAAAAAATCTATCAAAATTGAACACAATTATTTATGATGAGAATTACGTTACCGTAACCACTAATAAAGTGCCACCCAAACCGTCCACTTAAGCTCAATTATCTCGATTGCTGTGAAAGATATCAAAAATGTGTTAACTAATAAAATTTTGTTGGTGAGATGATAAACATTTTATCAGATGAACACTTTGTTATATCTTTTACAGGAAATAAGATATATAGGCTCAAAATTGAAGGTTTTGGTGGCGTTCTATTAGAGTGATTACGGTATGATAGTATGAGAATCATGGTTGTCAGTTTCCTCGTTTATCTCTTTTTTAATTTATGATTCTGTACTAACAACAACACTACTTTTTAAATATACTCAAAGACACACTGCAGCCATAACCTATATTCCAAAAAAATTGTTTGAGACTTTTCACAAAACATATGATCACTTCACACATCCCTTTAAAAAATAACATCTCATCTTTAGAGTCTTCTATTTTTTTTCTGAAAAAATGAGAAGATCTTAGTGGAAACATGATCTACCGTATCCTTCTCTTCTTTTTTTTGAGAAAGCTCTAATGCAAATGAGATCATTCGAGCGTATGCACATTGTGTCACATGACTGAAATCGGAATCTTGTGTTGGCTCTACTAGTAGAGCTACAGTGAACAAAAAAGGGGAAGAAAAAAGATAAGGTGAGTCAATAATAAGTGTGGTGGACTGGAAATATATTTGGGAGGAGGGAATTTATGTGGGGATGAAAAGTCAAAGAAAGGTCATTTGGGAAAAATATGTCAAGATGGAAATGGCAAAGCGATTGATTCTTGAAAATTGAGAACAGTTAATTCTCCTTGAGTCTTTATTCTCCTCAAAAAAAATTTAAACTAGGAAATTTTTAGATTCATCTATAAACTTTTGAAAATACTATAGATCGGTTTGAATTGGTCTTCAGTAACACCATTAGTGCCAATCATTAGACCTGAATACAAATCTTAAAGGTGGGGGCACAGGAGATTTTTCGTAGTTTTTTTTTCTTTGACCGCGTGGCTCAGTCGGTAGCGGCGCCGCACCCTCAATCATAGCCCTCACAAGTTCAACTCCTCGAGGGGCATGTTTGAACGGAATTTCGAGAACATTATTTTTTTCATGTCCCCTCCACCTTTAAATCCTGAAGTGCTTATCGAAATTTAAAAAATATGATTACTGATGTTCTAGAGATATGCAGCTTAGAAGAAATAGACTATGAGCCTGATGAGATGGAAATAGAGGAAGGTATCTGAACTAGAAATTGACGTCGTATTGTTCTCACTTATTCGGGGATAGGTGATCAGTGTGCGATGCGGTTGACGCGTAGCGGCGTTGCACGTGTTCAAATAGTGACGGGAGCCATGTTTCTGGCCGTCTACTACTGACGGCCCTCATCGCAAGAAAAAGAGAAGAAGAAAAAGAAGAAGAAAAAGAAGAAGAAAGCAGAAAAGAAAAAGGAGAAGCGTCGTCTTCTTTTTCTGCTCCTTCGTCTCGCTCCTGTGCTTCTGGTTCCCCACTCATTCTGCTCCTGCTTCTTCTTCTTCTCTCTTTCTCTCTATATTTTAGCCGCCTCAACGTGTGTGAAAATGAGCATGCTTTCTCTTCCCATCTCTCACTCTCCCCTTTTTTTCACGGACAGCTTCAAGCTTCACGTCGAATGCATTTAGACGGCAGGCGAAAAAGGCTCACACAGACTCCCGCCTGAAGCGGTAGTAGCTCTCTCTTTCTCTCACTCTTGAAAGCTTACAGAGAGAAGGAAGAGCAGGAGAAACACAACTACAGAGCGATATGATTCGTGAATTTAGAGTGTACGTATTGTCGAGAGGAAACAGGCATCGTCCAATTTAATTAGTACTCCTCGATGCGCGCCCCGCTTGCGCCGGCGGCAACGGGGCACACACTCTCCTTTTGGGAACCGCCCCGTGTCTTTCCATGCTCATCGGGTTCTCGCGGAGCTTGAGCCCTGAGCCGAAAGATTCAAAACAGGCGACGGCGATGTCGACGACGACGAATCGCGCATGCATCAGAGCGGACAATGGAGCCACAGACTTGGCGTGTATGGAGCATATTGCAACTACTCCTCGGATTTTTTGGGACATACAACAGAGAATATTTCAAGAAAAATATGTGAGAATTATGTGAGAACCGGAATGACATATTCTACGAAAAATGAAATGTCCAACATCGATGAAGATTAGGGAGCACGTTATGACATATATGGCACCGTAGTGGAATTCGAAGATACAAAAAAGAATACATTTAAAAAAATTCCAGATTCTAAAATCCATGTCGTTTCCAGATCTAGCATATATGATCCTCAGAACCCAAAATCTTTAATCTCTTTTAGTCAGCCATTAAAAAAATAATCAAAAAACTGGATGTCAAAAGTTCTTGGCCTTTTCATCTTGGTCGTTGTGGGTTCTTGGTTTGAGATATCAACAGAATCTTTTAGCTTTTTAAACTAAGGTCCAATGAAGATAACTTCAGTTTGAAGATTTTTTCTGGCATTTCGTGCGCTATATCAACATGCTTCTTTTCAAGAGCTCCGATTTTTTGTATCAGCATGACACTGCTCAATATAGGAACTCATCACTAATTTTATACCTATGGAACATGGTAACTCGGTAATCTAGCGGATCTTTTCCCACACGGATCTCTGAATGAAACATATTTTTAGGTTACGGTAGTTTTAATTCCGTTTCTGGTGGCCACAGCCACCTGCGTTTTTCTTCCATGAATTGTATTTTTAATTTGGACTAAAATATTTAATTCACCCAAGACATGCCGTTAATTGCAATTCCCCATGAAAAAAACCCGAATAATCGAGAAACAAAAATCTGTGGCTGTGGGCGATGTGCAAGTTGCGGTACCCGATCGTTCGAGTTTTCCCGTTTCTTGTGATTAAGCTTTCCATATTTCACCCGCCGCGCCCGACCGGGTGTGACGCCCGCCCGACGCCTTATATTTTGAAACGCCCGAATTAAATTTCATTTATTGTTTTGCGTCAAAAAAATATTTCAAAAAGTGTGGTGCGCGTTTAATCGACATAATTTTGTTGGACTACGAAACCTGGCGTAAATGGCGTTTTCGGGCGGCCCGCCCGAGATAGAAAGCTTACTTGTGATGACTCTATTTTAATTTTTTGTGAGAACTTTTTTCAACTTTCAAACTTTCTTTCCAGTTTTGCACTTTTTTAAATAAAATTAGCTGGTCCGCTTATTCATTGCGCAAAAAAATATCTGTTGTGCAAGTGCGCTCTTCTAACACTGGGCCGCGGCCTAGAATCCGACATGGCCGAGTTTCTCCCCGCGAGTTTTCGATTGCATTTTATTTCCGAAAAGTTTGATTTTTACTGGTTTTTGCAGCCAATTATGAATGTTCTGTATTGATTTTTTAGAAGAAAGTTGTCTAAAATCAATATTAGCACTTGGTTACTAACGAAAATTCAATTAAGAATGGCTCCCTATTTGTTTTCTTTTTGTTGTCTTTTTAATTACTGAAAAATAAAATTTTTCCATGATATGCTTTCTTGTAAAATCGTACTCTTTGCTTGGTTCTTTCTTTACAATTTTTTTTTCTCAGGATATGGCGAGAAGCGCTCCGGAAAAGAATCTGGAGAACTCTCTAAAGACTCCGTATGTCTTCTACAAAGATCGATTGACCTCATTCAAAAATTATAAGTACGACAGTGATCAAAACGCGACGTGCACATCGAAGGCGGTTAGTTTTTGAATTCTGTATCGTGCTAGAACTAAAAAAATAGTTTTTCAGCTTGCACGGGCGGGATTCGTATTCTCCGGCGATAGCTCAGCGGTTTGCCCGTTTTGCGTAAAATGTCTCGATTTTGATCCAGAAGACGATCCATGGGAGGAGCATAAAAATCGTTGCGGCGACATTTGCGAGTTTGTTCGGATCGGGAAGCTCGACGACTCGCAATTAACATTCGCTGAAACAATTGCCCTTGCGACACATGCCACCACAGTGGCCAATTATAAAAAGTTCGAAGCCATGATCGAACACATTCGGAACAAATCGCTGATCGATCTTGTTATGGGTGAACACAAAAAAGCGGCAAAGCCGTCAACTACGAAAACTTCTCGTCGTGCTAAATAATCAATATAACTCGAAACTCAAACTCCTTTAATCAATAATGTGAATAGTATTCAATTCTACATATTCCCCTTCTGGCTTGATCTCTTCTGATTCAGCTGATTCTCAATAAACAAGTGATTTATTTATTTATTTATTTATGTTTTTTTCTTCTTCTCCATTCATTTATTTGACCCGTTAAGAACGGTTTATACCTGTGAAATAACCTTAGGATTTTTCCAAACAACATATTCTAGGAGATTTACTGTTCATTCGTCTGCAGCCATCAAGTTCTTTGTAAACAATGTCAATGAAATTGAGAGAGTTAGTTTTTTCGCTCTCTTCTGTTTCAGTATGGTTCTTACAGTATTCTACCAGCTCCTGTAGCTGGAGATGAAGCGGCGTCACAGATTCGTCGAGATCCGTGGTTTGGTGGACGAGGAGAGGAACCATCCACAGCACTCGTTTCGAAAGAACCACCACCGTACGGAAAACGAAGTAATTTTAGGCCGAGAGGGCAGGAGGTATTGTTGAAAGCTATAAAATTAATTGATTGTGGGGTTTTTCAGGATTTTGGTGACGGAGGTGCCTTCCCTGAAGTTCATGTTGCTCAATTCCCTCTAGGATTGGGTCTGGGAGATATGAAGGGAAAACCGGAAAACACTCTCGCATTGCAATACGGATCAGATGGAAAACTTCAACACGATGCTATTGCTCGCATCGGGCATGCTAAAGATAAGGTTGTATATTCAAAATTGAATGATATGAAAGCAAAAACATGGAACGAAGATGACGATGATATTCAAAAGCCAGATGACGATGCAGTGATTGACGCAACTGAGAAAACCCGTTTAGCTCTTGAGAAAATTGTCAATTCGAAAGTGGCATCCGCTCTTCCGGTTCGACACGCTGAGAAGCTTGCACCAGCTCAATATATCAGATACACACCAAGTCAGCAGAATGGCGCCGCAGGATCACAGCAAAGAATCATCAGAATGGTCGAGGAACAGAAAGATCCGATGGAGCCGCCAAAGTTCAAAATTAATCAGAAAATTCCGAGAGCTCCACCATCACCACCAGCGCCTGTTATGCATTCTCCGCCCAGAAAGATGACGACGAAAGATCAAAATGACTGGAAGATCCCTCCTTGTATTTCAAACTGGAAAAATCCAAAAGGATTCACAGTAGGATTGGACAAAAGGTTGGCAGCTGATGGTCGTGGTCTCCAACAAACACATATTAACGAGAATTTCGCTAAACTCTCTGATGCTCTCAACATTGCTGGCAGAAAAGCTCGTGAAGAAGTGGAAACTCGCGCTCAACTCGAGAGACGTGTGGCTCAGAACAAGAAAGCTGAACAAGAAGAGAAAATGGCAGAGGCTGCAGCAAAAGCTCGACAGGAACGGTCAGCGATCCGCAGGAAAGATGACGAGGATAACGAGGAAGTCAAAGTACGCGAAGAAATTCGTCGTGATCGTATGGACGACATTCGCAAGGAGCGCAACATTGCTCGTTCTCGTCCTGACAAGGCAGATAAGCTTCGGAAAGAGAGAGAAAGAGATATCTCTGAAAAAATCGTTCTCGGACTGCCTGATACTAACCCGAAACGGACTGGTGAGCCACAGTTCGATCAACGACTGTTCGACAAAACCAAGGTGAGCTTTTATAGTTACTGTTTTATTGTCTATTCAAAAATTGCACTTTATCGAAAAAGAGCGAAGTCTAGTCTACAGTATACATCTTTCCTTAAAATCCGTATCAGAAACATGCCTTTCTATTTGTCCTCGAGGGTTATCTTCTATTACCGGTGCCCTTCAATTAGAGGTAACCCTCCTTTTTTTCAAAACTTTTTCAGAAAATCTTGTTCAGTATTTATTAATACCTATCAATTAAAAAAAAAAGTTTGGCTAGTTTTTGAGTATAAAAAGAATGTTTCCAAATATTTTTGTACAATTTTAACCATTACAATGGTTAATATATTTTATTCACAAAAACATACAGAAAGGCAACATCACATTTTTCGAATAAGACGAATCGTATTATACAATGAAAAGTATTAATAGAATGTTTTTACAGGGACTTGATAGTGGAGCTATGGATGATGACACATACAATCCATATGATAAAGCTTGGCGCGGAGGGGATAATGTACAACAGCACGTTTATCGGCCGAGTATGTCTCTTCATGTATTTTTTCAGGCATCAATTTTTAAAACCTGAAGTGTTTAGTGTGCTCAAAAACCAGTGACGAATTTAATAATTGCACAATACGTAGTTCATGATTTTCCGCTTCACCTTACTAGGAATTCGAAACAGCCAGCAGCTGACCAGTTGCCCCTGCATTCCCCTCATTTCTCTCGTTATCAAAATTTTCGAAATCAACAAAATGTAAATATTACTGATGCACCCTGTGCCGGTCTTGGTTCAGTTGTCGTTAAAAATAGCACCATACCGGCGGCTGCGCTCGTATTTGATAAGGAATTTTAAATGGTTCTGCAACCGCTCTGATGAGGGTGACGTTATTTTTTGAAGCACGAATTTCGAAAATCGAAAACATTTCAACAATATCGTCAAAAAAGGAAATAATAATGATGACAGAAATATAATACAGTTTTGCAGGCAAAAACATTGACAAGGACGTTTATGGCGACGATTTGGACAAGATCATGAGTCAAAAAAGATTTGTTGCCGACAAAGGATTCTCTGGCGCCGAGGGTTCGAGTCGTGGAGCAGGACCAGTTCAGGTTCGTCACGTGATCAAATTGTTGTGTTTACTGCACCGTCACATTAACATAAGTAACACGCCGGAATGTGGAGAATTCGGGCGCTGTCCTAATTGTTGATGAGCGCTAAAAATTAACTGATAATGGAGCAACTACGAATTAAGCGATTCGTTGATTTGTGCGGTCATTATCGGAAACGGGTCAATCGTTTTGCGTCATTTCTCGCGAAGCAAACGTACGTATTTTGGGAGTGTCGTATAGGATTCCATAAATTTTTGGTTTTTGAGCTTCTATATTCGTGCGTAGAAACTGTCGCTAATGCGATATAGAACTTTTAAGTGTCATGGTAACAGTATAAAGTCGACATTGATTGTGTTTCTCCAGCAATAACATTAGCAAATAGAACTTCATCCATTTTTGGTAGATTATAAAAGATTTGAAGATAATTCTAGAACTCATGTGCCTGACTAGCTAACAATTGAAAAGCTAATTGTCGTATTGGTTTTAGTCTTAACTACAATTTTTATGCTTCCATATGTTGTTCCCGGTCACATTTCAAGCCGGACGATCGGTGTCTTATCACCATCCAGAAGGTACTTGTCTACGGAAGACGGCGATGTTTGCGAGCATCTTTCGAAACTAAACACTATCAGTACTTACGAAATATCACGTCTTATCTCTGAAAACTGTGGGGGCAGCATGTGATTCGTTCTGAAATTGAAAGTGACGAAGAAACTAGAGAGAACTAGACCGGTGTCGACTATGAGAGCATTATCTGTTCCAGGCATTGTGACATGATCAGTTGCACGAATTTAGTTTTGTTTATGAATTATAGACTGTAGGAAGCAATTGGAATTATTCTGGTACAGAAAAATCGGTGTTGTTTAAGAGGAACGCCGGTGGCCGGAAGTCGCGCAACGACAACTACAGTAATCTAAAAATATTTTTATTCCCGGATTTTCTTATTTTGATTTTCGTGCGTTTTCAAAAATCTGTAAAAACGTGAGATACGGAAAAGAAAGATATTTTTAGGTTACGGTAGGTGTCGTTGTGGGACCTACGGCCACGGCCACCTGCGTTTCTCTTCCACAGCTCCGATTTTTTGAACCAGAATAATATAGTGCATAACCGAACTAGATTCATTGTGAATCGGAATCTTCTAAAGCACAGGACCATGTAACACTTGAAATAGATTGCTTCACACGTCAAGGCTAGTAGAAATTTCACTGAAAAGTGTTTCTGCCGGACATTTCTGCTCGATCGTAAAGAACTTTAAACCCCTTTTTTCGTCGAAACAATGTTGATCGTAGACTTAAACATAAATCGAATGATAAGCTATAAGAGGATAATAATTCAGCATCCTTGTCGGTTTATAGCTTGGTTCAGACATATCGGTCAAAGGGTAAAACACTCCTCACTCCATCATCATTATGTTGGTTGAAAATTCGTGTTGCAGTGCTTATAATGACAATGACAGTTCTACTATTCTTGAAATTTGCGAAATATTTCGAATTATAATATCAGTGGTTGGAGTTTCGAAACACCCATTCTAGGTTTCATTAAAACTTATCAACGAAATGATGGAAAAGTCGGGAAGTGAACTATAGACAAGATGGCGGCTGACGTGTGTGCGTGCCGATCGAATTTGGGTGCACAACTCGACGACCGGGATGCTTTAAACTGGACAAAGTCCAGCAAAAGTGTTGTCTTCTTCCAAAACTTTTTCGCTGAAATTTGTCTTAAGAATTTATTTGAAGAGTAGAGAAAGAAAAAGGAACCGACCAGTTTGCGTTCTATGTATATGATAAGCCTGGAACTCATTCGCCACGTAGTGTTGTGAAATGTTAACGGACTGGAGAAGTGTGTTGATGTACTATCCATTCGAAATGCTAACAATTTCATAATGTGATAATAGGAATACATGCCAAAATGGTCATGACTGTGCTCAAAATTGACACAGCCATGAGTCAGAAAAATATGAAATGTCAATGTACATTGACTGTGACTCACATTTAAACTTAGTAATATTTTTTATTTCAGTTCGAGAAGGATCAAGACGTCTTCGGATTGTCCTCACTCTTCGACAACACAAAGGACAAAAAGCGCGGTGGAGATGGAGGCGATTCGCGAGACGATTCGAAGAGATCCCGACGCGATTGATTCGTTCATTGTATTTTGTTTTGTTATTTCCATTTTTCTGGAATTCTTGAAGAAAACCCAAATCTCTCATTCTGTTTCTATTGTGTTGTGGACCACATTCTGTGGTTTTAGATTCACAAAACAACACATTTTTAAAAAATTCCATTTTATAAATATTTTTTGGTTCGTGAAACACTAAATTATGTCAGCACAAGAGTGAGCAAAAAGAGGAGGAATTATGGCAGGATTTTTTGAGCAGGAGAGACGGAAAGAGAAAAATAGGAATGAAAAATAAAACGAATTAAGAGTGGTTGAGTTGACTGTTGAGATGCATAAAACTGAGGAAAAGGTCCTTTTGAGCAAGTTCTTGTTGAAGAGCAAATACTGTCTGGCGGAGCATTTTTACTTCTGTCTCCAATTGCTCCTTCTCATCGTGCAAACTCTTCACATTCTCAACTTTTTGGCGCATCTGGGCACGGTACTGGCGAGCGTAGAGTCGACGATGACGCTTCTTCTGACTGTGAGCATCTTGACCATCGGCGATTTCTTGTTGTGGTCGTCCACGACGGATTTTTCCTGGCGCTGTTGAACTGTCAGCAGAGGAGCATCTCTGAACATAAAAAGGATACTCAAGAAAAAGAAAAACTTGATGACGTACCGAACTGGAAGTGGTAGAAACCGTGCCTACAGGCTCTTCAAAATTGGTCATCGGAAGTGGAATTTCGAATTTCAATGGGAAAAGAGCGGTGGGATTGATAGGAATTGGACGAAGAATTGCTCCTTGATTCAGAAGCAGAGAAGAAGGAAATGTAGTAGTCGAATCAGAAGAAGAATTATTTAAAATATTCATTGATGACATTTTGTTTCAGTGAGGAAATGAAATGAAAACGAACTGATTTCGAGTGAGTGATGATGACTCTTTTATAGAAGAAGTCTTCAGGGGACACCCCCTTTCTTCTTATCATTTCGTTTTTTAGGTTGGCTGGTAATAGTTTTTTCATCAAAGCACCGCCCTTTTTTCGCTCCTCCCCCGCACTTCATTTCGCCGTTTTTTTCCAAGTTTGTGACTTTGTTGTGTACGTGAGCTTATGTCGTTATCAGTTATCAATATGACGAATTTGGCAGTTTCGGTTAACCAAAAAAAGAACCTTTTGCCCTCCGGAAGACTTCCGAATCGGGGTGTGGTCGGTGGAGTTTGGTGCTGGAAAAATGTGAGGAATGCTGGAAATTTTGGGGGATGATGCCAATACCGTAACATCTGTAACAGACGAGCTGATTGTTCTCGATTCCTGTCAAAGATATAAAAAGTTCTTAACTGATAAATTGTGCAGCATAATATCATTAACATTTTAATAGTTGACAGATTTTCGATATCTCGCATAGAACTTCAGATAATTGAACTCAAATTTGACAATGTGGGACCCTTCTATCACAGGTTTTTTAATGGTACATTTTATTTTGAAAGCCCAAACTACAGTAATGTTGGGTGTGACATTGCTATTGCTTGAATTGTACTTGTTGATATCAAAATAATTCAAAAATAGAAGTGAGGAAACATGGAGCATTCTGAGGAAATAGCACTTTCCTAACTATTTCATCAAAGACTCGTCATCTCTCAAAAAGAGTTTGTCTGGAAGTTTCAAGTTCGATACATACATTACTATGAAAACATGGTGCAGTTAGGAAGTCTTTTGAAATTTGATTTCAGGGCAATTTGTCAGCAGTGAACATTAACTTTATTGCCTTAAAACCTTTAAAATACAGTCCCCGATACTGTCAAGTTTAAGTCCTTCTATCTCAATTCTAAGCAAGATATCAAAAATGTGTCGACTATTTTGATATTATGATGAACATATTGTAATTTGATCGCTTTTTGATTTCTCTAACAGGAACCGAGAATAATTGGCTCAAAATTAAGAGTTAGGGGGGGGGGGGCTCTTTTATTACGGGTTTGATGGTTGCTTCAATCAAAATTCTTTGTTCAGATGTCCCTTTTTACTTGATTTATTTCAGTACAAGAACTTTCTATACAGATTCGCCACTTATTGCAACCGTTGCAAGTTTATACGTCCACTCCAAAGATCAGTAGATCATGACCTCCAGCGAAGACGGAGGTGTCCAATTTTGATTCTTCCTTCTTGGAAACGGGCTTGGAAAAGAGAAAAATGAAATGAAGATGTGAAAAAAGGATTTATTGAAAAAATTTCAAATATAGATATTCCTGAACATACCAACAAAAATTATGAAAAATGACAAGTTTCAAAAGTGTACTGATTAGCCAGACGTCTGTTGATCACCAACACAAAACACCAACACAAAACCCCATATCTCCTAGGAGACAGTTTTCTAATTTTCAATAGTTCTTTTTCACTTCTAAAAATCTATACGATCGCTATTTATTGTTTTTGTTCATTTTGTTTCTTTTTTCTTTGATTGGGTCTTTTGCAAAAGGGGGACGTTCAGTGAAAATGAATTCACCTAGCCATGAACCACCAAACATGGCGACCCTGAGGCCCTTTTGTAACTTTTTTCGCATCCGACCAATCGAAAGAAAAAAGCAAATGAAACAAAAAACAGCTTACGCAGGGAGCTTCAGAGCAGTCAAAAAGTGCTAGTGAAAATTATCAAACTAATTCAAAAAGTAGGATTCCCCAATGGACTGTTTTTTTTCAATACGTGGAATTTTTTCCACATGGACAGAGGTAGGGGGCGTGACCTAATATTGCTTGATTTAAAGGCTTATTGTGTAACGTGTGAAAAGTTAAAAAAAACTCGAAAATTGAATGTAGATTTACGTAACCCATTAAAACAGTGAAAAACTAAGGACGAACGAGTAAGAACTAGGTTGAATTGTGCCGAAAGCGCACCATCTGTTGTTTTATTTATTGGGAATTATCTCGGTTTGTATAAAAGATACTCAAAATTTGCCAACTAATAAAATGTTAGTGGTATTAAAGGTGATAATTTTGTCAGATACTTTTTTAGAATGAAAAACATTCATGCTAATTGTAAGGGTATTTTGGTAGATCATGTTGAACTTTAACACCTTCCCCCAGATGGACCCGATGCACTTTTGAAAGAAGTTGAGAAAACGTACTTTGTGATCGTCGGTAGGTGTCGGTGCTGGGACCAATTTGATTACGATTACAATCCCAAAAGTTTCCTGGCCCATAATCACAATAATCTCCCGCAAACACCTGATATAAACTCTTCAATCCAATTTCCGTTTGTCGACTAATAATAAACTGTTTGCAAATAGTATCAAAACATTGACTCATCCCTCCTACTCCTACACTTATGCCGTTTTTTGGTAGCACTGGCACATCATGTCTAACCAAGTACATGTGAAGTATTTGTTGTCATTCGATTGCTTGCACAGGGTTTCTTCGCTCGTTGACAGATTCCCTGAAGAACGTACACACAGATAGAGAAGAAAGTATCTAGTTTCGAGAACTACAGTAATCCAATTGCTTAGGATAATGTACTTGAAGGGTGTCATTGCAACTTCTCAAATCAGATACGGCAGCTTTTAGATCAAGTTTCCAAGTTACAATAAACACTATAATATTGCGTCACCCAAACTTTCAACTTTGATCACATATATCTCATTCCCTGCAGGAGATATCGAAAAGTGGTCAACTGGCAAAGTATTTTTGATATTATGATAAACATTTTATCAGTTAACTAGTACTTGATATATTTGTCATGGACTGAAATATAAGGGCTCAACGTTGAAAGTTTTGGTATCACTCTATTAGAGAGTTTACTATAAATTTCACCAAGTCTATTTTCAACGATCGGAAGATGTCTCGAACAAACAAGTTAAAATGCGTTTTGGTTGTCTGGTTAAACACGAACCAGATGTCAATGACTCACAATTAAGTTTTCGACATTTCCAAAAATTTTCAGGTTACAAAAAATTTAAGTTCCAATTAGCGAATATAGTTCTTCCATGAGGCAAATATGTAACTGTATATGTAAATATGTAATATGTAACGGCTCGTGACTTCTGATCACAAGTTGAGGGAGTTCGGCTTTTGGACTGACCGACCAAGATATTGAAGAGGACCAATTAAAGGTGGTGTGCGGTGAAAAATTTTATTGCTTTATTTTGTGCAGAAATCCATGTAGATTCCCATAAAAATAAAGAAAAAATTCAAAAAAATTCCTTCATTGAGAAAAACGGCATCGAAAAG